GTGAGCAGCCGCTGGCGGGGGAGCACGGCCGTGGGGGAGGGCTGGGGGCGCTTCCGGTGCTGGGCTCCGAGGGGACACACCCAGGCCCGCCCGGGAGCACTGCCCCAGAGTACCCCAATGGGCTGCGGCTACCCTGGGTGCCTGGGGCCTGGGGCCCCACCAAGGTGTGCATCTGGGCACGGGGCCCGTGGCACTGAAAAGGGCTCCTGGGCTCCCTCCTGGGCTCTGCTTCTATGGAAGCTTCTGGAAAGTGCCAGGCAGTGGCCTCCCGCAGCCTTTGCCGTCTCGGAACCCCTGTCTTCCCATGTCACCCCTAGTCTCGTGTTTGTGATGCAGGAGGGTCGGTGCCGTGCATGGCCTCCCTCCCATGCTCTGTCCACTGCCCGCGGGACGTCCTCTCGGACCCTCCGTCTCTTCCTGGGGGGTGGGAGCATGCGTCCAGGCGGGCCTGCTGGGGCCTCAGGACTGACTCGGAACCGTGAGTGATTCCGAGAACCCTGTGCCTCTCCATCTGGCTGAGCCTGGCGCTGACACGCGGGGGCTGTTGGCTCCCGGGCAGGGTGTGGGCAGACCCCTGGGCCCCCAGAATCTGACAGGAGGAGTGCCAGCTGTCGCGGCCGCCACCCCCCCCCCCCCCCGGCCGCTCCTCACCATCCACACTGGTGGAATAATTAAGATGTGCTGAGGGCACGCGAACATTTGCAAACACTTAATAAAACACATCAATAATTAAGCGTTCCTCTAATAGTTACATCTCTGGCCTCCAGACATGTCTGTTGGCAAATGGGGGGGGGGGGGGTCACAGCGCGCTTTGAAATGTGCCTGATGACTCTCCAGGCTGGTAATGAGGAGGAAAGCTCTTCCCTGACGGGAGTGCAGGCCCAGGACTCGGGTGCGCCCGTGGCCTGACCCAGCGAGAGGGTCTGCTCAGCCCGCCAGCAGCTGCCTCGCTGAGGAGAGGCGGGACCCACCACCACGCGTGCAAAGTGCCCACTACATGCCCGCGGTGCCCGCAAAGAACAAAAGGAAATGCAGGGCCGGGGAGATGTGTCTCAGGGACAGCCATTCTGGGCGTGGCAGGCCCCGCGTGGTCCCCGCACCCCCAGAAGTGACCACTGTCACTCACAGTCACGGCCTCGACAGGCAGAAGGGGGCACATTGGTTTTTAATTAAAAATGGCTCGGAAGCAGAGAGAGAGAGGAGAGAGAGAGGGGGGAGAAAGGATAGAGAGGAGAGAGGATAGAGAGGAGAGAGAGAGAGAGAGAGAGAGAGAGAGAGAGAGAGAGAGAGAGAGAGAGAACAGAGGGGAAGGTGCTGGCTTGCAAACGACAGATCCCAGACCCCAGTTCTATTCCCTGTGCTACTGAGGCGCCTGAGCCCTGCTGGGGGTCGCTGGAGCACAGAGTCAAGGGTAGTCCTGGCCCTGCAGGGTAAGCCCCCCCCCCAAAAAAAAAACAGGAAAAGCACATTTCCAAATGAAGGGCCATTCCTACAAATTGCAGTGGATCAGAACCAAGTGGAGTAACTGGAAGGAGACTTGCTGAGCCAAGTACTGATTGTTAGATATTCTGCAGTTTCTGCAGCACGTGGCCACATTCATGGTCACAGGACACCTCTAAACCATAGGACGGGCAGTCCAGTAGGAATCACTGAAATAGGTCGGAGAGTAACATAGAAGCCAAGTGAGCTCAGTAAACAGAAACAGTAGCCCAGGAGCTCCAACTAGCAACAGCTGAGCAGCCCCCCACAAGGATTTAATGTCTCACCAGTGAGAAATAACAATTCCCACACATTTTCTTTTACTGGGGTATTTTTTCACTCTAACGCTCTCCCAACTGAGCTATTTCGGCCACCTATACCAGAGTATATTTTGATCATTGCACGAGCTCTTTAATTGCAACAAGCAATATAAAATAAACTGTTTTGTGCCTGCTACATACGGGGCAGGCTTGGGGAGTGCTTGAGGAAACGGGACAACAGTGGACGAAGGTGACAGTGGGGATGCAGTTGGGGCTGGAATATGGAATGTCTGTAACAAATGCCTCATGACCAGCTTTGTAAAACATGGAGTTTAACTCGGGGGGGGGGGGGGGGGGGGAGTTTTTTAAATCTTCAGTGTTGTGTGCGGGGGGGGGGGGGGGCAGAGCTGTGGTCAGTTTCCTCTCTAGCGGGTGCAGCCCCCAGTGTCCTGGGACTCCCCTAGAGCATCCTGCCAGGTCCACGGGTAATCCCCCACCCGCGGCCATGGTAAGTGTCCTCATTTGTTTCTTCATTAGACCAAATCATGCCTACAACTCTTGCTCGGGTATAATCAGATTTGGTGTTTAACATGCTTTTAAAGTAAAGAAATAAATACAATGGAGGCACGTGCCAGGTGGTCGTTAGGAGGGGGCCGGGCCCCATAACTTTAAAGTAATAGCCCCATTACGGAGCGGGGGTGAGGAGGTTTTAACTCGCCCGCGTTTACGCGCCGAGGTGGAGGGGGTCCGCGAGCAGATTGGACGTTTCAGTAAAAGCTTTCTGGTAGCCATTTAACCTCCATTTACGAAGAAATAAAGCAAAATTGATGCTGATTTGGATCTGCTTTGGGGGATATTTTTGTTCCATAAAAGCCCTTCGGCTTGCAATTTGCGGGGCTGCGCTGACGCGGCTGGAAGAGCCGCTGCTGATAAAGATGAAGCTTTATGGCCACAGTATTTGCTGCTCACAGCAACCTAATGCAGCATTTTCATTTCCGTGCAATTAATGTTAACGTCTGCCACGAAAATTGTCATTAAATACCATTTTAAAATCCATTCAATTTGCATATGCAAAGCCCATTTGCCATCACAGAAGATGCCGCTTCCACTTCATCAGTCCTTCCCAGGGATTGCGGCCACTTGGCTTTAGAGCCATTTAAGATTTTATGGCGAACACCAGACCATAATGCATGTCCTTCCTGAGCCCATGGATTTCAGCGTTTTCCTTTGGACAAGTAAACAGTGTGGCTCCGGAGCCAGGAGCCATGGGCCTTCCACAGTGTGCCCGTCCCAAGGAGGCAGAAGGGGGAAGAATCCACCAGCTGGCACCACACCTGGTGCTGGTCTGCTCACAGCGTGCTGGGTGACCTTGGGGAAGTATCTCTACCTTTCTGAATATGTAGGTTCCTGATTCGAATAAGGGCTTCAGAGCCAGAGAGAGAAAGAGAGAGAGAGAGAGAGAGAGCGCACAGGCATGAAGGCACTTGCCTTGCATGCAGCTAAGGCCAATTTGATCCCCAGCATCACATATGGTCCTCCAAGAACCACTGAGAGTGGCCCAAAACACCCACCTAAAGCAAAATCCCTTCAGGGCTTCAATCCAGGTGGTTGCTATTCTAATGCATGTCTTCACATTTTATATTTTTATGTTTTTGTTTTGGGGGTACACCTGGCAGTGCTCAGGCCTTACTCCTGGCTCTGTGCTCAGGGATCACACACTGCACAGTTTTAGCAGTGCCAGGGATCAAACCCAGGTCAGCCCCATTGGGGGGCAAGAGCCCCACCTGCAGTACAGTCTCTCCGTCCCACATTTTGTCTCTTAAGCAGAGGGTGTGGCAAGCCTTGTGGGAAGGCATCACCTGTATTTGAGGGGGTGGACCCTAGGGGCCTCTCAGTGCTTCCTTCCTTCCTCCCTCCTGCACCTGGTTTTCATGACAAAGAAATGAAGTGGATGTAGCAACAGAGTGTGTCCGAGAATTCCAGAATGCCAGGCCATAGCACCCCTAGAAATGTAGGGGACTAGGGGACAGCACCCCAGGCTCACTCTGCAAGGGGTCCCCTGGGACACCGTGTGTCTGAGATGGGGTGACCAGCTCGCACCAGGCTCATGAGTGATGCCAGCTGGGGATTCTCCCACTGTCCCCTGGGAAGTCTGTGGCCAGAGGACTGCTGAAGATGGGGACAGGTCAGCCAAGCCCCCAGGGGACCCAGTCGTTCCCTGAGCACCAGCTGAGGGCCTCAAGTTAGAGGTGTCCTGCAGATGGGCCTTTCCCACACATCGCCCGTATATCACTCCGGATTGGGGGACAGAAGTGCATTTCAGGTGAGACTACCAGGTGAGTCCCACTGGGAGCGATCCTGAGCACAAAGCCAAGAGTAAGCCCTGAGCACTGCCAGTGTGGCTCAAAACCCAGCCCTCTCCTCCAAAATTCACTGAGTAGTCCAGGAGTGTTGAGACAGGGAGTGGAAGACAGGCTGGAGACAGACTGCCACAGGCCCTGGGTGTGGACACAGCAGGGGACTTCCAGACAGGCTAACCCATTGGCCAGTCCCAAGCATTTGCCAGGGGGTGGGAATAGCCCTGGCCACGTGCAGCTGCTGCGCACAGCCATTTGCATTTATTTGCATCGCGCCTTCTCCACCGTGACCTGGATTTTGTAGCATTTGTGCTGTGATGTGGGGTGAACTTGAGAAGCGCTATTAAAATGGACACCCATGGCTCTGCATGCTGTTTCCTTCTGGTCTGCTCCTGGGATCAGAGCCTCTATTTCTTCATCTATCCCATCTCAGCCCCTGGGAACCATGGGAGAGATTCTAACCGCACCCCCTCAGGGAGGGAAACGTGTTCAGGACTGGCCAATCAGAGCCTCAAAAATCACAGCGGGTTACTCAACCACGCCCCCTCAAGGCGGGACAAGTGTTCAGGACTGGCCAATAAGAACCCCAAAAAATCCCCTGGCCTCAGTGATTGGCTCCAAGGCGGACACGTGACCCCCGCTGGCCAACCAGGGCGCTTCACAAACCTTGGCACCGGGACTGGTCCAGGGAGAGGAGCCCTTTGAAGCCGGAGCCGGGAAACTTGGGTTTTGTTGTTCGGCGGAGCCAGGACTGAGACCCGGGGCCCCAGACGTGCGAGGCGAGGTGCTGCCGCGGGGCCACGGCCCCACACTGACCCGAGCCCCCGAAGACTGAGGCTGTCGCGGGTGAGGACGGGAACGCCCCTGCTCATGCCGGCGCTGGACCCCCTCGCAGCCCCCTTACCGAGCGGGCATCCCGAAGGTCATATTCGGGGGCGGCGCGGGCGCTTCCCTCTTGACCGGCCGGTCATTCTGGTCGCTGATGCGGATGTTGTTGAGCTGGTGGTAGAGGAAGGTCTCCCGGGCGGTCACCAGGCCGGTCTTGAGCGCCCGGCGGTTCATGGCGATGTAATTCCGGGCCAGCTTCTGGGGGCAGGTGGGCGGCTGTTTGTACTCGTTCCAGTGCCCAAGAGCTGCGGGCAGAGACACAGGGCCAGGTGCGGGGGTCAGGCTGGGCAGGAAGGCTGCGGCCCGTGGCCTGTGACCCTGGAGAGTGAGTGGGGCCCAGGCCTGTCCCTGGGAAGCCGATGGGAAGCATCAGCCTGGGGTCGGGGAAGCGGCCTGGGGACTCCCAGCGGCTCCAGGGGTCACCCCGCTCTGTCCTGTGCCGGCAGCTCTGGAGACCCTTCCGGTGTCATCCCCTGACATCACCTGAACCCCAGCTGGTCTCCCCGGCTCCGCTGGAACCTTGCTGGGTCCTCCTGCTGGGGCGTGGCCACGCGCACCCCCGGGCGCCGCGCAGTGGGCCGGCTCACCTTCGGGGACCCCTCCGTCCAGCCCGCGCACGTAGAGTCCATAGCTGAAGTCCAGCCCGGGCAGGCTGCAGCTTCTCTCCCGCGGCTTCCCGAGCTCCGGCTGTGCGGGAGGAGAGAGCCAAGTGAGCCTGGGGCCGCCGGGCCGCCCCAGCACCGCAGGGGCCCCGAGCAATGCCAGGTGCAGAAGCAAGCCCGTTTAGCAAAGGGAGCAGGGGACCCCTTTACCCAGCCCTGGGAGGGGGACAGCAGGGCTATTGGGGTGTGCAGCACAGAGGGCAGGAGGGGCGCAGAGGGGAGGGGAGCCGGGGAGGGGCTTCCAAGCCCCTGAGGGGGCGGGCAGTGTGCTGGGCTGGCGAGTGTGCAGCGATGTCTGGGGCCCGGCCTGGGTCTGCCATGGCAGTGGATGGGCTGGAACCGACTTGGGGTTCAGCTCGCAGCACCGTAGGGCGAGGGCCTCTCCCTCCCCAAAGCTCCCACTGCCAGGGAGTGAATTTGTCAAGATCCCCACCCGGGCTGAGGACAGTGCGCAGGCTCCTGGCCAACCCCCAGACGGGTTTTGCAGGCCCGAAATGGCTCTAGCGTCGACGTCGTGCAGGCCCGTTTCAGAGTGGGGGAAACTGAGGCGAGGGCCGGGCCTCACCCTCCTGAGCTGCCTTATTCTTTGGCTACAGGCGGCCTTGCGCGCCACCTGCAGGGCACTCTCAGCGCTGCACCAGAGCCTCTGCGCCCCGGAGGATGCTCTAGGAGGGAGCCTGGTGACGTCACCGACATCCGTGTCCAGGGCTCGGCAGTAACTGAGACTGGGACGCGAAGGGGGCGGAAGGTGAGGGGAGGGTAGCGCAAGTGCTGTGCAGTCCTGACGGGGGGCTGTGTGGTAGTCTGGGTCTGCGGGTGCACGCATGCGCGGGAGTACCAGCTCAGCCGGGCTGATACAGTCACAGCATGGTGTGATAGTGTCACCAGCTACATCACAACCAGCCAAAGCCTGTCCCCATCCCCAGGCAGCCCGCACACAGCTCCTGCTCTCCCTATTTAAGGCCTAGTCTAATAGACTAGGTTTATTTGGGGGTCACACTTGGTGATGCGGAGGGGTAACTCCTGGCTCTGCACTCAGGAATCGCTCAAGGGACCATTCGGGATGCTACCGATAGAACCTGTGTGGGCCGCCGTGTGCAAGGCAAACACCCTCCCCGCTGTCTTATCACTCCCGCCCAACAATAGACTATTTCTAAAGCACTTTTAGGCTTACAGCAAACTGCGTGGGTGGCACTGAGATTCTCCATCTATATTGTCAGGCTTAATTTACCCAATTTGTCCCAGGTCCCAGCCCTGCCCGGAAAAGGGGCTAATAAATGAGGGTGATGGAATGAATGAGCTGACACCTCTGTCACACTTTTCTTTTCCATCTCGAGTTCAGCACACACACACGTCCTCCTCCAAGTCCTGAGTTCAGGCGGCGCATGGGGCCTCTGCTAGGGCTGGTTTTGAATTTCTTCCACACGACTCGCTCTGACTGCAGACAAAGCCCTGGCTTCCCATTTGTTTATGAAGCTGATCCGATTTCTCCAGCGAGTGTGGGGGAAGTTAATTAAAATGTGACTTCTCGGGGCCCTCCAAGGAAGGCTCACGTGGGCAGCCTTCCAGCTGGCAGAGGACAGACAGACTGACCGCGGTGCCGGCTGCCCTTGGGTGTGCACCAGGAGGCCGCGGTGCCTCCATCCCCTGAGCCTTGCTGAGGGCTCACGATGAGGCACGTGGGTCTATTTAGGGACATATTCGTGTCCATGAGGACTCGGGAGCACGGGGAGGGGCTCATCTCTCACCTGCTGACTGCCCCTGCGAGACCCGTCCTTTCTTTCTGCAGATACTTCTCTCCACCCCCTGGCACCAAGCTCAGGGGCGTGCATGGCCCTGCCTGTGCTGCTGAATGCCTGGTCTTATTCTGTATTGCTCACTACTGCACTCACGGGGGCTCACAGGTAATGACAATTAAGTATATGTGTGTGTGGGGGGGGGTTGGCTGGGGAAGTGCAACAGCCTCCAACTGTAAACATCTGTGAGTACACAGCGAGGGAGGAAAGAGGTCAGAACAGGCCGCTGACAGAACCCTTGCGCCTGCATATGTAAAGAGCTATGGCGAGTCAATAACATCACTGTGGAAATGAGGTCCGAGGGTCCCTGGGTTGCAGGTGGGGAAACTGAACCTTGGGTGTGCCTCGGCACAGTCACCCAGGTAGGAAATGAAGAGAGTTTGGTCACACTTGGTGCTCTCAGACCTCAAGCCAGGGTCCCACCACCTGCAAGTGTTACAGTATTCCCCACACCCCGCATGCGGGGAGCCAGAGCACAGGATCGGGGGAGGTTGTGCCTCCATGATGGCTCCCGTGCCTCAGCCGGACTCTCCGCGGTTCTTAGTCCACAAGGGTTTTCTGTTTGTTTGATTTTGTTTTGGGGCCACACCTGGGGGGCTTACTCCTGGCTCTGTGCTCAGGGATCGCACCTGGCAGGGACTGGAGGACCATATCAGGTGCCAGGGATCGAACTCGGGGCAGCCACATGAAAGACAGGAACCGTCTCTGCTTGTCCTCTCTCGCCAGCCCCAAGATGTAGTTTTTTTAAACAGGGGCCACCCCCAGGTGTTGCCAAGGTCCGGACTCTCGGGGCCTCACCCACGCCGGTCTGTGCCCCGCCCTGGAGTCACCCCCCACTCGCGTGGGTCTATTTAGGGTCATATTCGTGTCCATGAGGACTCGGGAGCACGGGGAGGGGCTCATCTCTCACCTGCTGGCCGCACCACCTGGTCCTCGGGGTGTTAGAATCCAGATGGGAGGTGGGAGAGGACCCCCTGCCCCCCACCGCGTTCAGGCTTATCCAGTCGGCTGCGTGAGGGCCGCTTGGCTGCCGTGTGCTCGAGGTGACAGCTGTCCCACCAGCAGACAGCTTCATTAAACCTCATTAAGATGTCATCCGTCTCGGCCTCGGTTCCCTCCTCTCTGCTCTAATTAAAACCCTCTCTCCCGTCCCAGGGGCTCCTGCCGGGCCGTATAAAGCACTGCGTCCCGTGGGCCAGGGGCAACCTTAGGCCACCGTCTTGCTCCGTGAGCTGGAGGCCAGGCGGGCAGGCCGCTGGCCACCCTGAAGCCCAGAGTCCAGGAAGGTTTCTCACCGGGTACCAGCCACCCACATGCTTTGTTTTCTTCTGGGGCCACACCCGGCGACTCCACACTCAGAGCTGACTCCAGACTCTGCATTCAGGGATCCCTTGTGGAGGGGCTCAGGGGTCCACACGGGATGCCCGGGATTGAACCCTTGAACCCGGGCCAGCTCTATGCAAGGCAAGCGCGTTCCCCGCTGTCCTGTCTCCTGCCCACCCCGCCCCCCCATTTTAAAGTCTTAAACTTCCTCCCCTCCATTTTCCAACAGAGAAAGGATAATGGGTGGGATCAGCTGACTAATAGAGGCCCCTGCCAGGACGGGGTGTCTGGGGATGCCCCCCCCACTGGAGGCGCTCAGCACCTCCACTTAGCCCCTGGACTTGACTCCCAGCACCTGCTTAGCCCCCCACGCCCCTCCCTGCAACCCCACCACCCAGCCCGCGAGCGTTTGCTTGACAGTTGAGAAACCTCCCCGGCTCCCCGCACCCTGTTATCGCGTAGTTGGGTGCGGCCAGGTAGTTATTAAATAAATATCTATGGGCCTGGCGCACGCAGGCAGACAGACAGGCGGGGGGAGGGACAGTTCATTACTGGGAAACAAGTTAGGGTCCTCGAATGAAAAGCACAATATAAATGCAAATTGTGATGGCGATTAGCATAGGGGTATTTATGTCCTCCCGTAATGAGCCGCAGATAAACAATCTGAGAGGCGCATTATGCACCAGACGCTCCTGCCCAGCCCCGTGGGCAGCCGCGTGCTCCAGCGCGGGAGCTGTCAGGGGAGAGTGTGGCCGCAGGCGGGGGCTGGGCTGGACACTGGGTTTACTGGCCTGCTAGTCTCAAAGGGGCCGCTAGGACCTCTTCCATTTCCTGTCCCTGCGGGGCCAGAGGGAGCGTCAGGAGCCACATTGGGGGTGTCGGGCCATCCCCTCCTCCCCCCGCCAGCCACCACTCTCCGCGACCTCGGACCAGTTGCTGGCCGGGTCCTGCGGTTCTTGGCCCATCCATGTCTCCGGTGGCGGCCACCCCGTCCGTCCTGATGAGTCCCACTCGCTCCTCGCGGTCAGCAGTCCCTGGCCCTTCCCGGGTGCCCCCTGGGGCGGTGGTTCCCGTGGCAGCCCCGGGCCCGGGTCCCCTCCCCCCTCGAGACAGGGTCTTCATTTGCATTTACATGATCTCGCCGACTCCTTGTGGGACGGGGAGATTTATTTGCTACTTAGCCTGATGTTTGATTACACCCGGGAAGGCAGCCGCGCTGGTGGCAGCACGCGTTGCTCTGCGCCTGGGGGCGGGGGTGGGGGGTAACCCAGCAGAGGTGTAGGGGGATGAGGGGCACGCAAACCGGAGAGGTGGGAAGAAGCAGACACTGTGATTCGGAGTTTGGGATCATCTTTTTAAAGGAAAGCCCCAGGGGTGGCGGGAACACACCCCCCCCCCCGCGGGACTTTCCCTCCACGTGCCTCCACGTGGGGTGCTGGGGACCCTCCTGCTCTCGGACCCGAACATCCAGCCAACACCTCTCGGCACAGGGGCCCCAGGCGGACCTGAGAGTTTCCCCTGCCGGGCCACGACACCCCCAGCCTGAGCGGAGCCTGTGGGGGGTGCAGACACAGGGCGGCACAGGCAGCAGAGGGGCACAGGCACAGGGGGCAGGAGATGGGGGGATGGGGCGCGGGCAGAGAGCACAGACGCAGGACGGGGACAGCAGGGGTGGTCAGGCCTCGCCTCTTGGTCAGATCCCCGTACCATACCGTACTGGAGTCTGGGTCTCCCCAGGTGGGCTGTCCCTACTCCGCCTCTGCCTCCTAGCTCTGATGCGGCCTCATCCTCCAGAGGCTCTGGGCGGAGGGGGGCGGGAGAAGCAGCTCCCACTCGTCCCCCGGGGCCCCTGTAGATCAGATCCATCCCCCTTCTGTGGCTCCCAGGCGTCAGGCACCCAGGCCAC